TACATGCTTTTACTAGTGGAGCATGCTCCTAGGGAGCTCATAATGGTAGCTTTTTACAGCTTTATGAGAATCACCATCATGCACTAGTTGCACCTTTGTTCACTTGTGTCCTTTCCCAAAGCCTGTGACTTTAATGTGGTGCCCAAATAAATAATGGCAAGTGGGCTCATGTCTTTAGGAAATTAGGGGTTATTCACTCATATTTATTATTATTATCATTATTTATTTGAATAAAATTAAATCAAATTGATCTTATTTGATTGATTTAGTTATTATTTATAATTTTAATTCTCTTTTAAAAGTATTATTCAGATTAAAAATTGAATTATACTAAGTTTAATAAATATTATAAATGATATACATATTAATTAATTATAATTACAATTTTCACTGTGGTAATTAGTTAATGTTCATACACCCATTTGTTATATGGTTTTGAAGATTTATTATATGAAATATTTGTAATTTTGGCTCATCCGTTATTTAATTGATTTAGGCTTCGTTTGGAACGGGTTTCTTTCTGCTTCTTGAAGTAGCTTTTTAGTACAAGAATTTTAATTTTTGTACTAGAAAGCTGCTTTAAGAAGCATAAAAAAAGCTGTCCTAAACGAAGCATAAAACTTTGATTTAGGGTCCATTAAAGCAATTTTGCTACTGCATAAAGCTGATTTTTAACTCAAAAATTTCTAAAAAACAGTTAGAAAGTAGTAGTTAAATGAAATTATGGTTGCTATTGAATAACAAAGTAGCTAAAAAATTGTCCTAAATATACTCTTAATTTGATTTAAAACTTAAATTTGGTTTGTTTGATTTTATGAAATTTAGAATTGAAATTAATTGATTTTGATAATTAAAAAAATTAAATTTATCAATAGATGAAATGAGGGAAGCTACTTAGTGCCTTCATACTAATTTAGTACCTTTTTGCATCAATAACATAATGATCAGCATGCAAATGTTTACAATTTTTTTTTTTTTTTGAATTTCAAAATTTTTACTAGAAAGTTGCTTCATAAAGCAGTAAGAAAGTTATCTCAATTGAAGGCTTTGTTTGGGACGCCTTTCTTACTGCTTATTAAAGCAACTTTTTAGTATAAAAAATAATTTTTTAAAAAAATTATTTTAAGAAGCAGTAAAAAAGTCATCTCAAACGAAGCTGAAGCCTAAATTAAAAGCATTATGAACTAACTTATGTTTCATTTCGGACAGCTTTCTTACTGCTTTCTAAAACTATATTCTAATATAAAAAAATCTAGTTTAAAAAATTTTGTGCTAAAAAACTGCTTTAAAAAACAGTAAGGAAGCTGTCCCAAACAAAGCCTTAATTTCACCACACAAGTTTGTATGATCAATATAATCAAACACCAATTGATACACACTTTACAAATACAAACTATAATGGTGATTATGAGATGAGATTATATATAAGATTTGAGAGCAATTAAAGAATTGGTACAGTAGTGATTGATCACAAATAGCATTTGTGCATAAATAAAAGAGATTAATGAAGCATGCAAGGAATGTAAATCTAGTTCTAAAGAGCAAATGGGATAACCATAATATCCATGTGATTCAACCTCTTACATGCCATATGTTTGTGCTTAATCCATTGTGTTCATGTTTGGTTCGTTTAAATTAATGGTGTTCATGTTTGATTCATGTTCGACACATGTTCGATTCGTTTAGTGCTTATCGAGCTTTAAACAAACAAGCCTTAATGAGTTATGTTCGTGAACATATTTAGTGAATTTTTTAGCACTATCAAACAAGCACGTTCATGGACAAATCTAATGAGTATTCTTGAGCTATCAAATAAGCAAGATCATGAATATATACATAACTAATATTTTCGAGCTACCAAATGAGCTCGTTCACGAACAAACGATCTATGATTTATCTTATATTTGTTCATGAACATCTTATACAAACTATCTAGTAAACATTGACAGATGTGAAATATAATGTTTCTTGTTCATGAATAAATTTATTCTATTGAAGGTATTAAATAAAATGAAATTAAATTTATAATAAAAGCAGTTGTCTATTTAAAATGAAAATAGGATTAATCTATATGAATATATTTATCAAGCTTATTCATAAGTTCTAAATTGAACACGAATCGAGTTTTTATCTAAGCTTCTTATCGAGCTTAATGTCGAGCTTGTTCACGAGCATCAAATGATGTTATTCGTGAACATAAATGAACCAAACACATTAGTGTTCAAGCTTGTTTATTTAAGGATCGAGTATTAAAAATGTTGTTCAAGTTTGTTTGTTTAGTTAATTAAACGATCACAAACGAGATTTAATTGAACAGAACAACGAGTAACTCGTCGAACATTTTGTTTGTTTGCAGTCCTATTTATAGGAGCTTGCTAAGGTTTGCAGTGTCCCGCAAATAAATAGTCTTTTAGCCCATAATTTATGATTGTTTATGGATTGTGCACAACACTTAATGGCGAATCATAAACTGCTATATCAATTTATTTTGATAAGTATTTAACAAATTAATTCGGAAAAAAAAGTATTTATCCCACTATGTTGTATTAACTATATATATGAATTCATTTTCTCAATTATGCCTTATTAAAAGTCAAATTATCATTTAAATCTAACAAAAAGATGTTATTTTTAATATTTTTATCCCAGTCTTTTTAGGTCTACCTCTACATTTTTTAAAGATATGTCATATCTAATACATCTACTCTCTTAATGGGGTCATTTGAAGGCAAACATTTTATGTTATCAAATCATCTCGGGCAGCTCTTTCTAATCTTATCTACCACTGGAGTTACGCCAACCTTTTCATGTATATACTCATTTCGCATGCATTTTGTCTATGTGTAAAGCACTCATCGAGGTGAACAAATATATAATTAAATTTTAAATTTTAAATTATTTAAAATTAAGTTAGTGTAAGTAATTAACGTATTTATTAAATATAAATAGCTTTGTTCTATTTTAATTGTGTTCATTATCCTTAAAATGTTTAGGGTAAACCACATGCTTAATCATACAATAAAATATCAAAACATCATGCTAAACTAATTTCGTAATAATTGCTTTTATTTTTTAAAGAATTTTTATTCATCATATTTAGCTCTTTTCCAAGTTGCAAAGGTCACAAATAGGCATTGTAAATGTTTCGAGTCAAGCTGAGTATATATCTAATCGAGCTAAGCTTGTTTAACTCTTGGTGAGCTTGAGCTAGACTCATTCGAAAATTAGTAGGCTCAAGCTTTGTGGGATTACTTGAGCACATTAAGAAAGCTCAAGCTTGATTCGCAAAATAATTAAAATTATTTAGTATATATTTTATTATATTATTTTAAAATTATATTTTAAATATATTTTAATTTAAACGAGCGGCTCAACAAGCTTAAGAGATGAGCCTAGCTGAGCTCGTATAATATATGAGCTCGACTATATGCTCGAGCTCGAACTCATGGCTCG